CTGGAAAGAATCAGAATAAATCATATTATATGATGTGATATCTCTGTTTTCAGCTGGTGCCGTACTGGGAGAAGACTTTCCGTATCGACCTCTCTGCTCCTCAGATTGGTGTGGTCGATGTTGAGGATGTAAGCAAACTCTGTCCGTCCATCCGTCCGTCCGTCCGTCCATCAAACTTTGGTTTTAGCTAAAGTCAAAAACATAATTTTTTGTGTTGCAGACATGTTTACAGTGCTTAACTTAGAATGCTAACCAGCTAGCCCTGTCCTGTCCCGTCTTGCAATACCACGTTGTAGCTCAGAGGGCGATAGTGAGACATTGTAGCATCCTGCCTGCTCTCACGAACCCCGCCTCTCCCGTGTTAGCTCATGGGACGTGGTGCACACTTAAAAGTCACGTACATGTTCTGGAATGCTGCCCCCTATGTGTTTGGAGTATAAATCCGAGTCCATGAATTCTGTCCTTCTGTGATTTAGTAAATTTGTCTCTGTCCGTCCTCGACAGGCCGACAGCGTGTGGCTGGAGATGGACGACCAGGATGACATGCCCACGTCTGACGAGCTGGAGCAGTGGGTCGAGGATGTTCTGTCTGGAAAGATTGACCCAGACGATGATGATGAAGATGAAGATGATGACGACGATGACGACGATGACGACGAGGATGATGATGATGATGATGATGACGATGATGATGACGATGATGATGATGATGATGACGATGATGATGATGATGACGACGACGACGACGACGACGATGATGATGATGATGAATAAATATTTACTACCATCGTTTGCTTCATTATAATTTAGCCATGTTTTGTAACATCTTGCAGCGAACACACTGTGTCTGTTTGCCTCCTGTGCGGTTTCCTACGAGGGACACGTTTCACGACCCTCTGGGAAACTTTCACTATCATTTAGCGAAGGAGATCTTCAGAGAGGCGGAGGGTTCGATTCCCTGCTGACCAACAGCTCTGAGGTTCGCTGTGAGGCTCACACAGGCTAACTCCCCCGACTTTTTCTACCTACTGTCACAGGGTTTCCCCCCTTTCTCATTTCCTCCACGTTACTGTAATCCTGTTTCCTTGACATGTTTTCTACCTGATGACGAGAAGAAACAAACACGCTCTTGTACTGTTTTTAAAAAGAGGAAACCTGAACTCACCGGACAGTCTCAAAATGATCGCAATCCTGGAAACCATCAAAGTACCGGATAATAAAATAATACAATTCAAATTGTTTCTGCTCTCATATTAAAAATGAAAAAGAAAATATTTTCAAACCGATGCTGTTTGTTGTTTATAAAATATACAACGATGCGTGTGTGTGTGTTCTTGTTTTTGTTAACTCTGTGGGACCTTAACCAGGAAAAACACTGACCTCGTCAGGAGCAGCGACCTTATGGGGACCAACTATCACTGAGGTCCTAGTTTGGTTTGGTTGTTCATAATGTACTGTCATTATACTGGATACTTGTGTATATATGTATGTAAATATATATATAGAGTTATACACACAAGTATGCAGTATAATAGCTAAATAGAATAATCATGGACAGGAAAATATTACTCATTTGTTCCTCAAGAAAAAAATAACAATCAACATGCTGAGTATTTTTATTATACAGTATACAAAGAAAACATTAGCGCTGTAGCAGTTTATTAAAATTCTACATGAAAATACAATCATGAACAAAGAGGAACGGATATTTAAATCTGCAATGATCTATGGACACGAGGAGTCGTTGCATGTTAATATATTATATAACAACAATTTATTAACAAGGTTCAAATGAAGAAGACAGGGATCGTTCACAATGGTTTATGGGATGTATATGATTATTTATATGATATTCAGGTCCAGATTGGGTTCAGTCACGTCGGCTGAGCTATAAACTAGATTTAGACGTCAAATAAAGTAAAAGAAAAAAAGAAAGTGGAGGGTACTCAAATTATAAAATAAATATAAAGTTCTTTTCTTGTTTCAATAAGGTAAAGAGCTTTTGAAAAAATCTTCTTAAAATTTTTTATATATAACTAAATTTCAGTTTTCCTCTTTGTTCACTACCATCATGTGCTGTCATGATTCACTACTGTAAAGATGCGAAAAGCTTTGAGTGAGTCGACCAGCCCTGGTCCTGAGCTGTCCACCGCTCTTTGACTCAGATCTCTTTGAGCTGATTAAGATCTGCTCTGATTTTTCTCTGACTGTCACGTGTGATGCACTTACTCTCAGTTATCTTGAGGTTTTTGTTTCCCTCATAGTGGACAGGGAGGCACCGTTCTCCAACCATACTACAGGCCACTATCACTTGCCTTAAACGTATCTTTACAGTCAATTTATTTTTGCGAGACATCTCGACTTCATACACCGGCATGGCCTCCTTGCTGCTGCACAAGTTACCATCTTTGTCACTCTTCACACGCAGGCCTGATGGACTGCAGATCTGCTCAACGGCACTCCTGCTACGGGCCAGGAGGAAGGACTGTATCGGTGCTCTGTTCAAGAGGTCATTGGCTTTTAAATATCTGCAAAATGAGATCAATATGTTACTGCGTATAATTCACATTGATTAAATCCGGTTGCTGTAATCTATAAAATAATTTAATTCACCTTGTCCACGCTTTTGTATCACCCAAGTCAAACTTCTTGTGAATGATGTGTTTGTTCATGAAGTTTTGGTCATTCTTTAATGTGATGTTCTTCTGACAGGGCTCCTTGTAGTGATGGCGCTCCAGCATGAGGTTGCTGGTGGACTCCGCTTGGATGACAGTGAAGATGAGACCGGTCAGGAGAATGATGTTCATTTTGACTAGAGAGAGAGAGAAAGATTATCACAGAGGGGTTTTGAGCAGAATAATGTGCAGTTTCAAACACAATATTAATTCAGTTAGTAGTAAATTGTATTCGTCAGTGCAGCTCGTGGCAGGACTCAAATCTACAGCAACCAAAACACAAGTGATCAAAAACAGTCGTATTAGGGCCGAGTTGAAAAAGACAAATTCAGAGGTTTCAAGAAAAAAGACCTTAAGTTTGAATTCAACCAAAAAGTCATGATATTTCCAGAAAATGTTTTTGTTTCACTCCTGGATCAAATATCACTCGAGCCTAAATTTCAACTTTCTTCTCTCCAATTTTCTTCCCTTCAAGATTCTTTCTCTGTCATAATGAACCATAACTAATATTCAAATATTTTCTCTCAAAATTGTGCATGAAATATTGTCACTGAT